ACTTCAGCAGGTCGCATTTCAGAGAGATTAGCCATTGATTCTTATAAATGAGGTCATTCAGCATTTAAAACCTCTTCTGGGAGCAAGTATGTGCATCCTATTGTAGCTTCAGTTATTTAATTATTTTGCTATGGTTATGCACTAGTGAGAGCTGTAAATATTTTTTAATGGGCTTATTCTGAAAGCTTTTCTCTGTGTTAAGAATTGAAGAAACACGCCTGGGTTTGCATTTAAAACAGCTTAAATTTGCTTGCCAGGGTCCTAAGCTGCATCCTGCACAGTCATCTGGGAATAAGGTTTCATGAAAGGAGTGGTTTATGGCATGTGCTCTGTGAAAGCCTCCAGGCTGCTGTGTGCTGACATGTCTTGGTAAACTTTAGTGCGTGGGAGAGCTCTTATGTTACCTTTATCGCTATATTCTAGGTATCAGATATGGGTTAGATTTTGCATTAGGTTGTTGAATATAACCAAGAGCAGTAAATGTGAAATAAATGCCTGTGATCCAGCCCTTAATCTCACATGGGATGGGAGACTGGCAGGACCCAGCCACATGTGAAATCCAGATAGTGGCTTTAGCGGCACATCTTCCCCAAAGTGCTCCTAAATAGTAACTCTACAAATAGCAGGGGTTTGGGTCGGGTTGTATTTTTATAGCTCAAGACTGGTAAACAAACAGCCGTAGCCTAACTGGTGAGGAAAAAGTGTGATTAAAGGAAGGAAAAAGCTCTGGTGAAATTATCTCAGTGGTAATGGAGAGAATGGGCATGTTGGATGTGGCCTCTTTGGTAAGCTTTGAAAAGTAACCAAAGGTGGTAATTTTTTTCTAGGAAGCTTAGGGTTTTTTTATAGAACAGTTTTCCCACATCCAAAATAAAAGCAATGGCTTGTTTCTGTTTGATGTAAAACATCAGTGGAAGGAAAACAGCATTTGACTGAAAAGGTCCAACAGCCTTTAAGGATAATTATTTTACTAGGGATCTGTATAAGACAATAAATACACTGAGGGGTTTCTTTCAGAGAGGTCTTTGGCAGTTGTAAAAGTGAGGGTTTGTATATTACTGCAAGTGTAACGGTAAAAAGTAGAAGATGCATTTTCCTCCTTGCATTATCTTGCCCTTCCAGCTGCCACATGACGTGATAAACCGCATGTTCTTCTGCGTAATTTAGTAATACCCCTTGCTCTGAAGTGGTTGTAAGAGAAGTTTGGGATATTCTAGTTAAATTTTCATTACATTTATTTGTATTTACCTTTTTGACTTTACCTGAAGCCTGGTCTGTTCTGTGAAATTACACTGATGTTTATTGTCCAGACATCATTTCACATGTCTGTGTGCATTGCTAGATTCTTTACTTTAGGCTTTGATGGTGCAGTTGAACAGCTTCGTGCATGGGAACTATTAATCAGCAGTTTCTTTACTGACAGATATGTGCTTTCTGGCTCCTTGAATTATCAAAATGCCTTTATAGAGGAAGGGGAAGTACTGCTGCTGAGCAGATCAGCAGTCCCATATGTCTGTCTATGAAGTGGACGTCTAATAACACTGAAAATTGTCACGAGGAAGGATATATAATGAAGAGGAACAGATGGGAATATGGGAACTCGATCTGAAAGTCATTTGGGGAATACGGGGAGGGCACAGGGTGAGCAACACTCCCTGTAGAAGGGGTGCTGGGGTGTACACTGGGGTGCCTACTGTGATGCTGCGTGGGATTTCTGTTCTGCCATTGAGATGTGTTTTACCAAAACAAGCCAAATGTGAGGGTAGATTGGTAAAATGCTGGGTGGGGGGGGAACTTCTTAAGGTATCATTTTGTTTACTTTCTTGGTGTCATTTGCTCTAGGTATGTGTACAGAGCAATTGCACATTTGCCATTGTTAAACCTAACTCCAGTTAAGTTTATATTGTTCATAGTGGTGACAGTATAGTCTACATTTATACCAGCATATTTTCACCTTTTCTCTCATCCTCCTCTGCTCTTTCCTATTCATCTGTTCTCTTTTTGCCTTGCAAACTCGGCAAAATTAAGTGGGTCTTGAATAGTGTACAGGTACTTTTCTGTTACAGTTAAAAAAACCAAGCATCCCCGTTAGATTATGTCTGGAACAGCATGTAACGTACTCCAGAGAGAAGCTTCTAAGTGTGGATTTGACCTTGTGCAAATGTGTTTAATCCCTGTTGTTTGTTTGCATTTATAGTATTTAAACTACTACCAACAGTCATGACATTTCAGCAATATGACTTTTATGTGCAATCAGTACTAGACATCTGTTTCATCCTTTAGAATCATATCCAAAAATACATTAAAAGAACATAATGGTGCAGAGTCAGGCATTCAAAAGTTAGAAAATGCCAGAATTAAAGTTCCCTGCATAATTTCTTAAATTCAGAAAGAAGCAGGACTTGCTCCTGCTCCTTTAAATCAATAACCTGCTACTTTCATCTGTTGCTGCAAGGTTCAGGTATGCCTTCCCTTTGTAGTCTTAAATCTCTTGAGAAAGAGTTGTAGTGAGGGATGTGTGGAGAGTGGTCCCACTCATTTGGGCAGCTTTGCTAATACTGTGATGGCCAGATCCTTACAGTGAAGCAAGCTGTTCACCTTGTTTAATTCTTTATTTCTTTAGTGAGACTTGGTTTTTAGGCAGGAGCTTGAGAGAGGATTGAGACTTCCAGTCTTCCAGGCTCAAGGCTGAAGAAAAGAACAAATTTTCCTGTGTACCTTGTGCAAATTTTTTCATCTTTTTGCTGTATTTGTCTCTTAACCCCATGACAGTTTATAGCTTTCATCAAGTAAGTAGGCTGTCTACTGTAGTAATTGAGATAAGATCTGCTGGTGTTCCAGTTGAAGTTGTTGCTGTGATGTTATTTGTCTCATACATCAGTCAGAAGAGAACTTTGCAGACTTTGGGGTCAAAAGATAGGAATTATTGGTAAAATATTTTTATGATGTCCTAGGAGTGCACTCTAGAACAGTAATGAGCTTCTTTCCAATAGCTGTTGGAGCATCAGTTGTGTGCTCCCATCTGCTAGGAATATACAACAACAAAATGCATTCAGAGTTAAATACCTGATTTCAGCTCTTACAGTGCTCAAGATTCTCTCTCTTAGAAGGCAAAACAGGAGAGAATGGTGCTGCCCAAGAGAGTTTCCAGCTGTGTTGTCTTGGAGAAGTCAAAGCACAGTTGTGAGCAGTGATTCATCAGCCCCTAAACTTCCCTTAACTTGTTGTAATGGTCTTTTGTCAGCATCATGTGTTTGAGGAAGTATAAATGCTGGTGTAAGGGTGCTGGGGGGTTCAGTGTACTGACTGCACTATAGGCTGTAGGAGACAGGAACTCAGTGTCATTGGTGTGGGTGCAGGACTTGCTGGTATTAAGCAACGTGCCCTGGATCATGTGTCCACTATAAATTCTAAATTATCATAGTTCAACTCCTGCATCCCAGTGGCCTCTGACTGGTGAAGCAGGTGGAGTTATGTTAACTGCTGAGCTACAAACACTGCTACCTTTTGTGCTGGTGTGCAGCTTAGCTGGGTGTTGGATGCTAGGTGCTGCCCAGGTGCCATGGTAGTGGTTACTGCCAGGAGTGCCTACTCCTCCTCTTCCATGTGGTGGGAACTTTTATCCCAAATAACCATGCCTTTAAGGTTTGCACTGATTTACAGTAAGTTGGGATGTGCTGAGGCATCTTGAAGTCCTTCTCTTTTCCCTTTATGTTTTCTGTTGATGAAACCATTGCTGTTCGTAGGGAGAATGTATTATTTAGATGGACATGAATTATGAGTGTTTCTACAATGAAGTGCTTTATAAATGCATCTCCTTCATTTAACCCAGGTCTTGAAAGCATTTCTTTGTATGTAATGTCATATAATGGAAGTACTTGAAATAAGCATGCCCCATGTGGTGACTTATGGGGGAATAATCTTAATTTTCTTTAAAATGACTGACTAAATTATAACATATGGTGACTTGTGGGGGAATAATCTTAATTTTCTTTAAAATAACTGACTAAATTATAACATATGGTATGTGTCTTAGGACAGGAGCAAAGGAATAGTTAAGGCAGGGTATAAAATATGACAGTGCTGCTGCCTGGCAAGGTTAAAACCACCCTTTTTATGACATTTGTCCTTTGCCTTGGGCTGACGAGCAGTTCTTCCACGATTTTGCTCTGTGGTAACGATTTTTATATAGCATGAGGTGTGTGGTTAATACTGCAACAGGGCAGTGAAAGATTTAATATTGAATGTGTCAAAGATGATGTGGTGCCTCAGTGCCAACCAGAGGAGGGGCCCCTGTTTTGCCACTGGGGAAACACTTCCAGCTAGTCCCTGTGAGGAAAATGAATGGTCTTTTGGAACCCTTATGGAAATGTAATTGTTTCCAGTGTAACATGTAAAGCATCCTGCAGTGTCTATTAAAGATGCATTGATGGGTATGTGAATATTGGGTGTCTCGTGTCCTGCCTACCTAAAACCTGTAGTGAGCCATGCTCTAATCTCTGATAGTCCCAGTGCTTTCCAGTGAGGAGCTGCAGCTTTGATTAGCCTTGTGGTCTGTGAGACAAGCATGGCATGAGCCGAGCAAAGAGGAATTGGAAATGGCAGAAGCTATAAGCATAAGAATAACAATTCATAATGAAAAACGGAACAAAAGAATAGTTGAAACAAATCAGAAGCCAACCTGGGAGGAAATTGAAATGAGAGGAAAGGGAAAACTTGCTGCTTTCATGGTACAAAAGAAACAAAGCCAGATCGGAGTGGGGATTCAGGGAAGGGGAAGGTTCATTGTCACTGGCGTTTTTAATGGTTGAATGTAATTTATTTTACAGCTGCTCCCCACTAGTTTTCTTTTTCTGTGGTCACTTGTTAAGAGACAAAGCCATCTGCCCTGTTTTCATGTTCTGCTTGTTTTACATAAACTAGATGAATATTCTCTGAATGTGAAGTGCATGTTCTGCATGGCTCCTTTTTCACTTCCCCCCCTCCTTTTTGTTCTGTAGATTCTACCAATCTGCAAGCAAAGGTCATGGCAGAGTCTGGGGGGAGATTATTCAAGGCCATTGTTAGAGGCTTCAGAGGTAGGTATAAATTGGTTTTCTTCCTACTTGCGGGTCAGGGGAAACTCAAGCCCTTGGAGCATCTTTCAGTGTAGTCTGCTGGGTAGTTTATTTACTTCACTATTAACAGTTTTGAAGTGCAGCAATTTAAATGGCAAGTTATGTTTCTGCCTCTAGAAAAGGAGATAACTTTTCTGAGAAGCTTTAGTGTTGCGGTCTCCTCAAGAAGTCTTTTTGAATCTCTAGAAACTGACAGTAATACAGTAACGTACAAAGAAGAGTTCTTAAAAAGGTAGGGTTTATGTATTGATACTTAAATTCATGTCGTCAGGCATAGAAAGTACCAATGTGTAGAAAGTTGTGAGTTTTCCTTGAGTGTGTAGGGCTTTATTACTTCAAAATTCTGCTTAGGTTGTGGAATATAGAATCATAGAATAGTTAGGGTTGGAAAGGACCTTAAGATCATCTAGTTCCAGCCCCCCTGCCATGAGCAGGGACACCACACACTAAACTATGTCGCCCAAGGCTCTGTCCAGCCTGCTAGCCTTGAACACCTCCAGGGTTGGAGCATTCACAACTTCCTTGGGCAACCTATTCCAGTGCCTCAGCATCCTCACTGTGAAGAACTTCTTCCTTAGATCTAACCTAAAGTTCCCCTGTTTAAGTTTAAAGCCATTAGAAACCATGAAATAATCAAGAAACCATAGAAATTTATTCTGATCATTTCGAATGTCAGGATGTCAGGCTCTTACTCCGGAGAGGTCTGCTTGCCTTAATACTCATGTGAACATAAGGAAGATGCAGTTTTTTACTGCTCATGGAGTAATTATGACACATTCTCGGTAACACACTTGGCTCAAATGAGGCTGGGAAATGTATTTGTCTTGGGTTTTGTTGTTTTGGGGTTTTTTACTTTTAAAATAACCACTCATCAAACTGTTTCAAGCAGCTAAAAATCGTTTGAGGGTCATTGGGCCTTCGAAGGGTGAAATCTACTTTGGTTTTTATGTTTTTCTTTAAAACATAGAAAGTGAAATTTAGATTTGGGAAGCCCTGAGGTCTGCTGTCAAACCATACACATAAAATGGAATTCTTAAAGAGCTTTTACATAACTTGAACCTGGAAATTGTAAACATGTAGCACATCTCTTAAACAACATGCAGACTCTTTTTGAAAAGCTTTAACACGTCCGTTGTTTGTGACAGGCACTTTAGAATTGAACTTGGACAAATGCCTAGTGGTAGTAAGTTGTTATTATTTAGTACATCTACATGCATTAATAAATCCAGAAGCTTCCTCTGTATTTATTTAGCAGGGAACCTTGTCAGTCTTCACGTTATTATTGCTTAAATGTATTCCACTTTATACATTCATGTGCCAGAGTGCAGTTACCTTCCAAAACTTGAGTTTCTTTCTCAATGTTTTTTAGTCCACTTTTCAGTTAAAAGGACACCTAAAGCCCTGTTATCTTCACCTCCTGGCTGCTTAGAACATGGTCTTTATTATACTGCTAGATTTGTAGTCCCTTTCTTACTATTGTTTACTTAAGCAGCGCAGGGTTTTTAGAGAGAGGTAATATCTTTTATTAGAGCAAGTTAATACAGTTGGAGGATGAAGGAGGAAGAACAGACCTGGAGTTGTTCTTTCTGTTGGCTTTTACATGCATGTTTCCTGAGGTTCTTGTAAATTGACTTTTCATTTTCACACAGATCCTCCCGAGGTGGCAACTGATAGAGAAGAGAACGTGTTGGCACGGTCATGCAGGTGGAGGGCTTCACACAGATCCAAAGGAAGGGGTAAAAACTTGCTTCATTTTGCTTAATTAGTATTGCTTTTTAAGTAAAAAATATGATCAGCTTTTCCCCTTTCACCAAAAAAGCTGATGCTACCCCAAGCAATAACTTGGTAAAACCTATATTGGTAGGTATGTAGGTAGATGCTGTTTAATTGCTGATGTTGGTTTGCTAGCTGTAAAATCACCAAATGTTTGTAATAACTGTTCAAGTGCTTCAGTTGTTTTACTGAAAGCACAGTCTTCGTGTCACACACTCCTTTGCAGTTGGCCTGTGTTCTGTCAGACTTCTTTTCATGGGAACTATGTTTCATTGTCATTTATTGTGGCTTGTTGGTTTTGTTTGTGACTGATACGTCCCTGTGACTTGACACTCAGGATAGTAGAAATCAGCTTGTGCGTACCAGTTAATGCATCATTTGGTAAAATTGCACTTGAAGTGGGAGGGAAGTAATTAAACTGCATGTATTTTTACTTGGATTTGATGTTAGTGCATCTGATGTGTTTTGGCTGTATTTATACTCAGGAAGTGCATGTTAAAATAAGTATGGTAGGTATGTAAGGAGCAGCAGTATCTTTTATTAGACTGAATGATTAAAGTGAGAAAACGAGGCAAAATTTTGGTTAAAACAACACAATATAAGCTTTGCATGATTAAAATTGCAAAATGAAAGCTCTTGGGTTTATGTAACTTTCATTTTCTCACTTCCTGTGCAAAGTTATTTCTGATGTGTCACAGAATCATTCAGTGAGATGATTATAACTTGTTCAAACTTGTGTGGGATCTTTCTAAAACTAGTGAAGACCATGTTGATGACCAGCTGAAACTTCAGTGCAGAATCAGGTCTTTCGGGGCTGGTTTTGCTCATGCTTAAAACTGTTCTGATGATCTTTCCTACAGCCTCATTTGTAAAGCAACTGAAGAGTTAAACCTGGGATTTCCTCCTGATTTTTATCCAAGAGCTTTCCCTCCATTGAATTCAAACCTGTTTGTGCTGCAGGTAGAAGTCAGGAGAGATGCTACCAAAATTTGTGCTTTTGTAGTAAGAGGGAATTTCATAACTTAACGTATAGCCAGCTTGGCTTAGCAAACATCTGTGGTCTCTTCTGTATAAGGCACAAGGGGAAACAGAATAATTGGACATCTTCACCCAATTACTACTGGCTCTGCATGTAACATTAACTTCAGCCTAATTTTAAGACCCTCCTTGCAACAGGTACAGGCTCTTTCAAAGATTTCCTAGGTAAAACAGACATTAAAGCTAGCAGACTGTCCTCTGTGTATCTTATGGAATAGAATTATTATGGACTGTAGTTCTCCTGTAAATGGGAGGAGAGTATTATCCCCTGTGTTGTCACTTTGGTGATAACGCATCTGTTGGGTTTGATTATTGGTTCTTTGGGGTTTATTTTCCTACTGGAATTTCTGTTCACTTGGGGATGTTGATCAGTTGAATAATTCCTGTTTGCTGTCAAAAAAAACCCTTCAGTTTTCAGAACGCCATGGAAAAGATTTTGTATATCCCTAGAACAAACTCACCCTCAGAATTCATGTGCAAATCCATTTCACAGACTCAGTTTCACAACTGACCTATCTTCAAAAATACCTCAAGGGGCTGTTTGTTCTTTTCTTTAAACAGCTATTTCCTGAAATGCAGACATTTTTCAACTGAACTTAACATGTGATGGGCAACTTCCAGGACGAATCTGTTTAATCATTATAGGAATTAGATGTATTTTTTAGTTGCTACTTTTCGAAGGTCTACAGCTTGGCATCATTCACAGATTTCTTGGGTTGGAAAGGAAATGAAAGGTTGTGTTTGCCAAAACACTCGTAACGTTAAGGAACAGTGGATGTTCCTTAACATTAAAACTCACTAGGAATATGTTAGCCAGAAATTTTGATGCCAGCTGGTATTTTTTTAGCCTGCTAGGCAGTGTAAATATTCTGTGGCATTCTCCGTTCACCCATTGCTTGCAGCTATTCCTGTATAAGCCAATCTCCTGACTTTTTATTCCAATAAGTGGAACTATAATGTAGTTGATATAGGACATTGTCAGTTGAGGCTGTTGTGTAACTAAACAATTATCAGCTTTTGTCCAGGAGAAAGCAGCAAGAGCTAGCTGTAGAAAAGGTGAAATGTGTGAAGAGTGGAAAAACTAAAGAAGAACAAAAGCCAAGAGGTTCTCAGCAAAAATGAAGGGAATGGAATCTTCAAGTAACTAGGGGAGAAGCTGACACATCTGGTTTTTTACAGCGTAGTTTTTTACTTCCAGCAGTGGCTGATGTGCTGAATACTGAAACTGAGACCAGTGTTGTTCCTTACCACCTTTGGGGGGTTTTGTGTGTTATTTTAGTACACAGAATAGACAGGAATAAAAACTGGTGCCTGACTTGCTGCTAAGCAGACATACATTGCTTTCTTCTGGAAAGACCAATAGTCATGATGAAACCCAGGTAATTAGCCTTCCCCTACCACCATTTCACTCCGTTGCTTCTCAGTTTGCTCGCCTTCTGTGGAGGGATGCATAGTATGAAGAAAGAAGACTCAGTATTTCCTTCCCAAAATTTGGAAGGAAAATTCAGGCCTTAGTTTGACATTTATTTAAACTGATAAGGCAACTGAAAAGAAGAATCCTGCCTCCTTCCTCACCTTGGTGCCTTGCTGCATAAGTCAGTGTATGGTCAGATAGTGAGCTAGTGTGAAGTGATCTAGCTGAAACATTTCGTGCCCAAATGGTGGGAAGACCCTCTCCCTTCCCAATAAACATTACTGCCATTTAAAGGGAGGTAGAAGAAACGCGTCCCTTAACCTTTTTATATACCATAGAGAATCAAAAAAGGCCCCGAGTCCATTAAACAGATTACTCAGTTGTTAATGTTGCCACTTGCATATTTAAACCATTTTCAACTCATGTTTCTGTGCAATGGTAACATTTATTTCATGGTAAACTTTGATGTAATATGTGTGCATTTTGCATCTCCTTTGATATTTCTGCTTGTTCCTTTGCAAGGCCTTTGGCAAACGAGTGGCTGCTTTCTGACTTTTCTGAATGGATTTACTTCTGTCACCGTTCAGAGCCATGAAGGAAAGGAAATAGATTCCTTGTATGCAGCCCATGTATTTTGTTCTTTTTAATAGCTTTTCTGTGCAAAGTCGGACTAGCCAATAGCAGCATATAATTAGAACTGCTCTGGTTGCTTTAGTATTTTTTGTGCTGAAGTGATACCTCTTTTTAACTTCCTTTTAACCTGTAAGTGGTGATCAAAGATACTTTCCAAATGTTTGAACTGCCATTTATGCATATCCTTGGCTCAAATGGAAAGATTTATGTATATGTTGCAGCAGATACTCCATCTCCTGAATGGGTAGGATGCAACAGAAGCAGTTTTGCATTCTGTCTTCACATACAAATCTTCCATATATCCCTTTTTTAAAGGTCGTTTGAAATGTGCTTATACTGTGTAATGCTCCAATACATTTGCAGTTGCTGACAAAATGCAGTATCTCTTACCCTTTGGTTTTCTCTGAAGCTATGACTAGAAACACTGAGATGAGTTTTCTGGTGCTTTAAAAAGCTTACCTTTATAGGGTTGGCTTCCCTGGCTGCTCTGCAATCTTACCTTTTAACAGGACTCTCTTTTCTTGCTCGTTCACACTGGACCTTAACATAGAATTTCTATTCTGAATTGGTTTATCTTCAAAGTCAAGGAGGATTTAAAGTACATGTTACAGTGGGGAAAACATTAAAATACATTATAAAACTGCCCCTTTTGACAAACTTCTGTAATGAAAAGTCATCTTTAAAAGGCGTGGGCTCACATTTTGTTTCCCCACACACCCCTGACTACGAAGTATTGCCTGAAATGGAGAGATTAGCTGCTACTTGCTGCCCTCCCTTCAGCTTTAGATAACCTTCCTGTCTTTCAAGTTAACCCCAGGGTAACCAGCACAGAAAAATGAGTTGTTGATACTTGATCTCTGTGTTACTGCATGTGCTGTTCTTGACTGGGTAGCATGGTTTAGGCTTCAGTTAGTTAATATACGTAGCTTGGGAGTTTAGTGGAATATATCTCACATGTGATACAGACATGTGTCCATCTGTAAAATAACTTGTATTTCTGTAAAAAATACAACAACCAAAATCACCACCACCACCACCAAAATAATCCCGAAACACAACCCCCCCAAAAAAAACCAAACCAAAACCACCTCCTATTTCTCAAAAAGCCTTGTTAACTGAATTGTAGTCTTGTTTGGAGCAAAATTTGAGGTTGGACAAGAACCTGTTTGAATTCATGAAAAACGGACATAATCAGTTAAACTGGTGTGTGGCCATGTACATCATCTGCCTTGTGGAGCCTGGTTACCCACCATCAGGGGCCAGTCTGTTAAATCAGGTGGTGGTGTTGGAAGCTGAGTTAAGGCCACTAGAATATTCTCTTGCTGGTAGTTGTAACTTCATTGGGCACCCACTAAGGGACTGTATGCCCTAGAAAACATGGGCAGGATAAGGTTATTTCTCACTTCTCAGCAAAGGTTATAAGATAACCAAAAAACTGAAGGTGATTGTTGGAAATGCTTAAATTTGCAACCAAATAATCAGAGCTGAAATTTCAGTTCAATTTACACATTAGCATAACTGTTCTGTTTCATATATTTGAGATGCTAAAATGCTGGTGGGTTATACTGTATTCTGTTGACGCATGAATGTTCTCCAGACTGCTAAGGTTTATTGTAGACCTTTCAGACTTCTTTCATTCGTTGTTTTTTTGTTACTTCATTAACTTTACTTCTTGCATTTCTCCCTCCCATTGTTTCTATGCTATGTTAAAACAGCTTCCAAAGAAGAAATACCAATCTATTTTGTGCTGATATCTTGAGAAGATAAAAAAGGACCAGTTTATTTGTTCTGTGAAGTATTTAAACTATGGTGAATTGTGGCTTTCTCTGTTATTCCATTTACAGCTAGCTACACTTGCACTCTTGAGGACATGTGAATTAAGAACAATTCATCTGTTTTAACAGTGTGTCAAGGATTTAAACCTAAAAACTGACAACTTGAAATTTCAGTCTGCAGTCCAAGTCTCAAACATGGTGAAGTGTCTGTTGCCTATCCACTAAAATACAGAAGTGATCCAAATGTATGCAATGCATTCTTATTTATACTGTTATTTTGCTTCCTTGGGTCTCTTTGTATTACAGTGCCTTTGTTTCTTCTTTCCAATAGCTTAAAGAGATAGATGCCAGAAAGATCATCAGAGCGATGTTGTCTTATGTGTGGCCCAAAGACAGACCTGACCTGCGAGCCAGAGTTGCCATATCCCTGGGGTTTTTAGCAAGTGCAAAGGTAAGTACAGATACTTCATTGTACTGTGATAGTTACTGTTCATTTGGAGTTTGTACAAGGAATTATTTAATCCTTATTTAAGGATTTTTGCAATCTTAAGATGTCTGTTTCCTGTGTGAGGAGCTTATAGTATTAGAAGTACTAGCTTGGATATATTTTCAGGGGGTGTGTATGCATGTGATAGGCATGTGTGTGGTTAGGAAGATAATGATGACAACCAGAATTTTCATTTCCATTGCTCACATTAGCTTAGTTCAGGATTTTCTGTTGCCATTTAATAATTTACATCATAAGTTATGGGAAACATGAGTTAAGGGTTGCTTACAGATCGTCTCTTCTTGCCTGGTGCTGGATCTGTCAGACAGGATTTCCTCAAGGCTCTGTGCGTGTTCTCAGCTCTGAGCTTGAGCAATGTGGTGGTATCTATTCACAGCTCTTGCTGTGCTATGGAAAAGGGGATTTGAGCTCCAGTCTTTTGATATCTCTTTGAGAGATGGCAGTGGAATTTCTGTTGTTTCAGGGACTCCTCTGGTGTTCTAATGTGAAACAAGCTGTGTAATTTAGTTTTGATATTGAACCATGCTTTCATTCAGATTATTTTTCTTGTAGTCTTTTGATGATGAAATGGAGGGTTGCTTTTACCTTTAGTTCATTGTGTGAAAGCATCCCTCATACTCTTGCCTGCAACAAAATTAGTACCTGTTTGTTCTTAGAAACAGGCATGCAGCAGCTTTCAGCAGATTAATGGAGGATGTTCGGATTTTTACAGACCTTGTAGAAGTAGTTCAGGAGAGCAGATGTTCAGTTTCTGCACAAAATCTTTTGCTTTGGAGAAAAAAAAAACGTATTTGATTACAAAATTTACTACAAATATTTTGCAAATTTCATATGGCTCGACTGGGTTGCTTTCTAATGGCAACTTTTACTAAACATAAAGCCAATACTACTATTTTGCTGGGATAAGCTGAAGTAGGTACTACTCAGCAGTGAGTTTCAGCACTTGAGCTACTTGCACTGGCAACTTACTAGCATTCAGCAGCATTGCCATGTTATGAAAAGAGAGAAGAAACAGATTTCTGCTGTGTAGGTATTAAAAGAAGAGTACTTGGAAGAGAAATGTGCTCGTTTATGTGAGCTGGAGAGGAAAGGCCAATCTTCTGGCCTACAGCTCCTTCTCGTGAGCACTGTATCGGGTGCTAGCTGGTACTGTCTACAGCAGATACTATGGGTTGTGCTGCTGTTCAGGACGTTGCTGATAATGCAGGTGACAACAGGCAGGACATGGCATGTCTGTACATGTAAACTTCCACCCTTTTTTATGCCTGTGTGAAATAAATACACAGCAATGCTTTCAATTACACTTAAACACTGTCTGGGAAACTATCTGCTCAAAATGCAGTTGCAGGGAGCAGTTCACCTTGTGTACTGTGCAGCTGGCCTCACAACAATATTTAACTGATTATATGCTTGGCTCGTTGAGGTTTTGTGATGTATATTTACCAGATGGATATGAAAATTCTTCTAACTCACTTTCTTTTTAAAGCTTCCTATTAGTAATGTTAAGAATAATAATCTGAAGGCAATTTTGAAACAAGCTTTTGAGGTACTTTATTTCTTTTTCTCCTCTTCCCCCACTTTCCTAATTTGTAGGGTTATATGAACGTGATGGAGAATGTGAGTCCAGAATCTGGTCCTGCGTGTGGCAGCCTTGTACCTCGCTTTTAGGAAATCGGTTGATGTTTCAAGCAGCTTTCTGGGGTGTAATGAAAACAAAATTGATGGCCAGCATGCCCGACTCTTGGAAATAGCTCTGTATTTGGTATTAGACAGAGCTATTACGTTTCTGCTGGGAGAGAGAGAGATGATTCCCCCTGTCAGAAAATCATGCACTTAATCATTCTTTGGGAAAGTAACTGGATGTTCTGATCTCTCTTTAAGTGTTCTCTTAAATTCCCTACTTCAGATTCTGTACAAGGCAGCCTGGGAGCTCTGGTGTCCAGAGCAGATTCCCAGGAGCAGAGCAGAAAACCTGCTGAGCTTTGCCCAGGTTTTAGAAGGTGCCTTTTAAAACACAAGTGTTTTGTAAGGCTGTTTTGGATGTTGTTGGGAGAACACACAGTGAGCTCTCTGCAGGGTAAATGTTATAACTGGCTGGGGTGAAAAATTTCAGGTGTGTCTTCTAGCTCTCCTTTGATAAAGTTCTTTGTTTTATTCTGTTCCAGTCATGAAACAGCCTTGTTAGAGCTCAAACATTTTTCAGTCTAACAAGTTACCCCTCATCACTTGAGCTAACCCACTCTTCCTTTGGGGGTTAAATTTTCTTCAACTACTTCATACTTACACCTTAAGTATGCATGTAGTTACTGTGGCATAACTGACATGCAATAGTTTGTTACAGAGTTATAGTTCTTCTGTCATAACTTTGAGCCCTGAATATCTCCTTTTCTTCCAGAGCAAACTAAAGGTCACTTTGTCCTAGAGAAACTTTGGTTAGTTTACTTGTGGCTTGCCTGGACCATGTATAATCCTGTGCAGTTTCCTCGTTATCCCTTTTGGGAGCCCTTTTGTTCCAGTTGCTTGTGAGGTTAATTACAATGTACTTGATAGACCACACAAGGAGTTTGTTGAAGTTTCTCTGCTGTATACTTGTGTCAGCACCAGAATGCCAGCGTATCTGTCTCCTCACTGCAGTCCTGGCCCAGTTTCTTCACTGTGAACTTGTCTGTGCCTGAAGGATTTACGTCCCTACTATAGATTATGTCTAAAAGCTGCTTGTTCCTGGTGATTTTGCATAGAGAACTATGATGCCTGCTACTAGTCACCTTCCCCAATAAGAAATGCTTTTGTTAAGCCTTTTGGATAATTTCCTCTGGGTTTGGTGAGGTTTTATACCTATGTATTTATGAAGTTAAGTTTCCAGTTAGGAGAAAAGATCCACGTGGTGACTCTGAGACAGCTTCTATAGCATGGCTTCAGTTTTATTGAAGAAAACTCCAGAGGAATAAGAGGAAAAGTAGGTTATGAAATCTTCACACCCAGTTTAATTGTACTTACCCACCAAACACAGGAAAGCTGAGGATGATACCTCCTGGTCTGCTGCTTGAGAAGAAATTTGTCTCTAAATCTTCCAGTTCAGTAAAGTTCAGTTTCAAAACAAAAGCTGGTTTGTGTGCAGCTACTGAAGAGCCTGCAGTTACAATCTGTCTTGACTCCTTTTGTGGGTCCAGTTGCCTGTCATTGAGAAAATTATTGTGATTTTTGGTGCCTTTTTGTCTACACATAACCGCTGGTAGTACTGTTAGCCTTCAAAGTGAGCTGTTTATATGGCTTTTTATGACTGGTTGCTGACAGGATGGAGTCTGCTCCAGGGCTAGTAAGGTCTTTTATTCCTTGGAAGATTCATTGTATTATGACACGCTTTAAATTTTTACCTTAAATGTTTATAGCCTATCTAGACATGTGTGATCTGAAAGATGCAGCAGCAAGACAGGTGAGAGGAGTGCACAAGGCATTGTCTGTGTGTTCACAGATTAGCCTGCTCAGGTTTTCAGGTTTTTCATAGCTGTGTTTTCTTTTTCCACACTCCCTCTCCCAGTTTTCGGCTCCTCTACTGTTGTATGTATAGCACACGCTGCTTTACTTTCCTGTGTCTTCCTTTTTCCTTCTGTGGCACAAGGTGAAAAAGTGCTTGGGCTTCTGAGAAGCTGGATTAAACGCACGAATATGACAAAATCACTTGTCACCTCTGTCAGCTGTAATGATTTTTTGGCCTCTTGGTCACAGGCCATGCATGTGTTATTCATGAGCCAGAGAAATCCTTCAGACTCTGCATTTCTACTGACTGCTAATCCTGTAAGTTTTAGGAAAAGAAATTGGTTGGCAAAGGAGGCGAGAGGCAAGTGTTGTATTGCAAATTTAGCCTGCGTGCAAAGATAATGATATCTATCTGATCAGTTAAGAATGTGCAGAACATCTGGGTGTTTGAGCCCTTTTTATGGGCTCAGATGGAGTTAGATAATTACAATAAACCTTTAGAAACTGCTAGTGGAAAAAGTACGTTTCAGGTCATCATTAAATGTGGAGAAGGCATGAAGCCAGACACTTCTTCCCTCATCTGGACCACATTTTGTAGCTTCTTTTAGCAGTTTTACCTCTGCAAGTGATGGAGCTTTCTGTTTATGTTTTCACAAATGGAGTTGTTGGATGTGTACATTTATATTGGTCCAGAGATAAATTCAGTCATCTTCATGTCAGCATTTCTCATTGAATTATTGGCAAAAGAAGAGTTCACTGCAGACCAGTTTTATCTTGTTGGGGCTCAGCCTGTCACTAATTCGTCATCTTTATTATCAACAAGAAATACTGGGAAGAGCAAAATGAAAGATAAGACTGACTGCCTTAAAAGTAGTGTGGTCCCACAAGGGAGTAGAGATGATGATGCATTGTCAGCTTAAAACAGTGCAGTCATTTAAAAAAATGTTTAAACTCATTTAAGCATGATGCATTACAGTATAACATGCTGTTAAATGTGGGCAATTGACTTGGGATGACTTCCTGGGTGTGTATTTGCTTTCCAATAAATTCAGGCAAGGATAAGCTGCTAATTCACAATTATAAATAGAAAATGTACAAATGTGTGTTAAAAGGGTCTTTTTAATGGGAAGCATCAAGCTTTTGGGCATGAGGAAGAGGGGGGAACCTATATAAACATATTGCATAAGACAGTTGTTTTGCATGGTAGCTTTTCATAGTGTGCTTAAAGCTTTTTGTTCTGTGCCAGCAAATCCAGGCTGCTACAGAAGAAGCAGTAAGTTTATGTAAAAGGCTGCAATTTTGTTTCCATTCATGTGAAAGTGATCTCATTGACTTACCAAATTGAGTAGCAAAGGCCTGTTTCTAATAATGGCCTCTCATCTCTCTGGCTATAAACTTTGTAAGATTAACTACTTTTTTTTTTGGTTAATATTAAATTACTGGAAAGCAGACTGTCTTGATTGCTAATGAAATGCAATATTGTGCTGCCTTGTTCTTATTCAAGCTTTACCCTCCAGGAGTCAGAACAACTATAACCTGAGACCAGGCTTTAAATTTCATTTAAAACTCTATTGGGTAGAATTATATTGATGTAAAAGAAGACATTTCTGCAAAATTGTAGGCTGTTACTGGTTAAATTAATTGCAAGTGGAGAGCTGCATCTTAAAGAATACATCTCTCTTCTTTAAATGGACTTTAAAATCTATCTGTAGTTCTATTTCTGAACTACCTGTAGTGTAGCATGGTCGACTGAGGAGTAAAATCTCTGCAGAGGGATTTGTGAGACTCTGCAGCAAGTCAAGACAATCTGCATTACAATACTCTGATTTTTCTACTGAGTAGCCTCTCCTAGGAAAACCTGCACTGTGTCGTGTTGGTCATCACCCTAACACACATGGTAGCATATTTGTCTTTATTAAGAGCAAAATGCCACCCAGAAATTGAATTTCAGTAACTCTGAAGGGAAAGCAGAGAGGTTTCGATTGTGAAGGGGAAGGAAGGGAGTTGAATTTTGGTATTGTAAAGATTCAGAGTCTGTTAATGCATCCTCAGTTCCTTGTGGGGCTTAATGCTTAAGGTTTAAGTATGTAATGGCAGTGACCTGTTTGTCTGCTGTGTATAATTGAAGTTATCAGACATTATTGTGTACTGCTGCTTTGATGATGTTTGTTGGCTTTCTGCAGCTAATGCTAACCTCAGGTCTTTTTTTAATGGAGATTTCCACAGTTCCAATCTGTTAAAAGGGAGCTGGTGCTGAACGACTCAGCCTTGCTCTGGAGAAATTTCAGAAGGATGGATTTGAAGTAGGACCTGATCTTTCAGCTCTCTTCCTTTTTTCAGACACAAATCAGTAATGCTCTTACCTAGATGCTCTCAGATCTCATCTGTCTCCTCTCAGGAGTTGTCCAGATTATGCTGTGCTAGGACTTTGGTAGTATTTGGTTGGAGTTTTTTCCTGCTTAGTGTATTTCATAGGGGAGATACAGAAAGGAAGAGTTAAAAATGGATTGCTTCCTCATTTGTATTTAAACCTTTTGCCTAAAACTGTTTAAATATAACATTTAAAAAGAATTTCAATTATAAGTATATATTAATTATTTAACTATAGTTAAAAGAAGTATTGTCAAAACGCCAGTTTCCCCTCTTGGTGAATGAAGTCTTCCACTACTTACAGTAATTTGTAACACTGGGAATGTTTGATACTGGGATAGTAATTATACTTGCTGAAAGCCTGTTTTCCAGCCTGAATTTGGACTGAAGTTATGAAAGACTTTACACTCTTCTTGCTTGAGACCTAGTTTTATCCAGTTAATTTGCAGTTCTTTCACTGGGCTTTCAGCTCTGACAGATGTCCCTAAATACAATTGGGATCTAAGTGGGTATACAAAACATTTGGTGGAGAGAGCTGAAATATCTTTGTCAATCTGTTTTGGGTTTTTGTTGCTTCTCGTGTGAAATAATTTGCCATCTACCCGTAATTTTTTTCCCAAATATTGAAAAAAAAAAAACCCTCAACTTTGAGCAAAGTCAGCTCACTATGAAGTATTTAACATCTGCCATGGTATAACATTGTAGCTCTTAATGTACTTGTTCAGCTGCTAAAAACCTTGAATACTTTATGTTCAAATCTTCGCTGTTAGAAGCCATTTGAATTAATGAATTCTATTAATTTTATGACATGTAATAATAATTTTTTTCTTGTTGGGATATGACAAATAAGGGATATAACAATGAAACATTAACAAGACTTAAGAATTGTGTCTTTTCTGTAAGATTTCTACTATTTGCTTATGCTGCAGTTGTGCAGATCCTGATGTTGGTCCGTTTACACCTCTAGCCAGCTTGCTTTTTGCATGTAGATGGGACGCCACTGTTAGGGGAGATGGGTTTTGGTGCTCTTCAAAAACAGCCATTGATGTACAGTATGTCAGGTTGTCAATATGACTTTGGTGTTTTGTTTGAAGGCTCATGTTGAAGTGATCTATAGTGTCTTGTAGACTATATGAACTCAGTGGAAAGTCTTCCGTGCTGCTGTGCCAAATACTTGGGTTAATACAGGTATTAAGTTAATGTTTATAGTGATGTTGCAAATGGAAAGCATTATTGAAATATTAAGGCAGTACTAACAGTCAGAAAGCAAAGGATAGATTAACTTCTTTTCTTGGGCTTCATAAAGCTTTGGTTTAATGCATCTCGGTTGACCCAGTGTTAGCAATATGTGGGTGAGTTGTTTCTTTTGTAGTAGTAGTTCTTCAGAGTGAATATTGTCAGCACCACCAAGAGCAAACAACCTGTAATGACGATGTAATTTAGGAGCATGGTGAGTGTGTCTGCTATTTGATTCGTTTCTAGTCTTGCCATTGCTGTACTGAGTGCTCAGCCACAATTTAAGTGCCTTTGCAGTGTACAATTTCTTTAGGATAAAAATTGGCATTTAAAGAAACCCATGAGAGAGGCATACTAACCCTGTAGTCCCAGGAGTAAAGACTTAATAGGAGACTATTGTGCTTGAAATCAAGAGCCATCTCACCTGCTCTAAGTGGTTAAGAACTAAATATAACAGTAGAGCAATTTCAGGAAAAATAGTCATGTTCCATAGATAGATGCTTTAATGTATATGGACTAATTGGTGTTCTTATGCTTTTAGGCCATGAATATATTGGTTCCCTTCATGTTTAAGTATGCAGTAGACAGCCTCAACCAGATATCTGGAAACATCCTCAACCTCAGCGATGCACCAAGTACAGTGGCAACTGTGGCAACTGCTGTTCTCATTGGCTGTAAGTGGTATTCCCAAATCCATTAACAAGTGTTAACGTCCTTCATTAAGGGAGTGGAACAGCAGAGCTTTTGACCTGTGCACTGCGAAGCACCTGGGATGGTTATTTCATAGTTACTTCATGTGTTGCTGTCCATTTCCAATGTTCTGTGACCTTGCTTCTGGAATTCTAGTTAAAAGATGAAATAATGCTTATAGAAACGATTCTTGATTATAAATCCTGCCCTTTCATATAACCAGCTGCAAAAGAAGCTGATTCAACATGTGTGCAATGGTTTATAAATGGAAAATAGCATAAAGGTTTGGACCTGTCAAGTATAAATTACCTTTGAACTAAAAATGTTGAAAATATGTAAAGAATGAGCCTAATGTAATTTCATGCATGAAGGGAGGTTGGAAATATAACTATTTTAATTTCATAAACTTTCATCTTTTTTAGATGGCATCTCAAGAGCTGGGGCAGCGTTATTTAATGAAGCTAGAAATGCAGTATTTGGGAAAGTAGCTCAGAATTCAATCAGGAGGATAGCAAAGAATGTGTTTCTGCACCTTCATAACCTGGATTTGGCGTTCCATCTAAGTAGGCAAACCGGAGCTCTGTCAAAAACCATTGACAGAGGAACAAGAGGCATCAGTTTTGTTCTTAGTGCTTTAGTATTCAATCTGGGACCTACAGTGTTTGAAGTGGCACTAGTCAGTGGAATTCTGGTAAGTGGTGTTCATTCCTGACTTGGAGTTGTCTCATTTAGGAATAATACGTTGATCTTCTTTTACCAAAGCCTACTGAGTATTAATAACAATAATTGCATTTACAAGGTGGTTGTGAAAGCAACTGCTGTAAAGGAGAATAATCCATAATTTTCAGATATTAGTTACTTTAGATCTGAGGAAGCAGAATATAATTGTCCAGGAATGCTGTGTCTTAGTGTGTTGAGGACAGAGGAGGGAGTGATTATTTGCTTTCTTCTGAATAATGCTCTTTTCTTATCCAGAACTTAAAAGTGAAAATTTTCTTTTGGAAAATAGGCTGCTTCTTACAAGTTTTAAGCTTAATAAGCTCAATTTTAACCTTTTCTTTTATAAATCACACGTAACTGTCTTTGAAATCAGGATCTTTGGGTATTTACAGGCTAAAATATAAATATGTAGCTTAGACTAAATGAAAAGCAAGAATCTTGTTTTGTTTATTACCCTTCTTTTTAGAAGGACTTAATCAAATTTGAATGTAACAAGATGAGTTAAAAGCCGTGTTGGTATCAGGTTAAATTTTATAACCTTTGGAGGTTACAACTCAAGCTGGCTGCCAGCCAACCTGCCATGGTGCTTTAATTCTTCTTTTCTCTCCTGATGTACCCTGAAGTAGAGAAAACACTTCATCAATTGTTTTGCAAGGCCATTTATTTCTTCCCCAGTCGTCACCTTGCATTCAAAATCCACCCAAAAAGCATGCAAACAAATACTTATTTGTTGTAACAACACAAATATCAGCAGCATTTATGTTTTATAATGGCAAAAATAACTTTCAAGTGTTATAACACACTAGCTCTTGGTTATTTCCTCCAACCTTTTTATCTGTACCCTTCTCCTTGCTGCTTTCCTTTTGAGTTTATACCTGCATTTAGTATTAAGCTGTTCAGAGCAGGGAGTGTTGGGAGGGACCTTCAGAGTTCTTGTCTTGGGTTAAGCTATTAGAGTTTTGAGACAACAGTGAGGCTTTGAAAAGGAATATAACTTTTTGTTTCTTTTACTTATTCCAGTATTACAAATGTGGTGCCGAGTTTGCTTTAGTAACTCTGGGGACACTAGGAGCCTACGCAGCATTCACGATAGGGATTACACAGTGGAGGTAAGGCCTGCTCTCTGATTCAGCTGGGTACTGGTTGCCTCAGCCTTAACTCTTGACTATATTAAGCCTTCATTTCACAGGACTAAGTTTCGGATAGAAATGAACAAAGCAGATAATGACGCGGGTAATGCTGCCATTGACTCGCTACTGAATTATGAGACTGTGAAGGTAAGACCAGTCTTTACTGCCAAGCTCTTTGTCTGTCTTCTGTCAGCCTAAGGAAAAGGAGTCATAAGATTCATCTTTTGTGAGGCTACATATTTGGAACAATGGCATATTTTAAACCCATTATTCATTGGAAGAGCACTACATGGTATTGACAGGGTAGCATGAAAGTCATTAGTGGGGCTTGAAAAACCTATTTGCTAGTAAGATTGAGAAGTTTCTTTCATGACTGAATCACCTTGACCATCAGTTTCTGGAAGAGTCTCGGAGAAGCTTCTCTTCACTTGCACTGTTGTCTTCTGAATGTCAGCCTGCAGCATACTGTCTTCTCAAATGACTGTGTACTGTTTTCATTACCTGTTGTGGTTTGTAGCACTCCATTGCAATGTTCATCTTTAAGAGCAGGTCTATTAGTTCTTCTACTGCTACTGTTAAAAAATCCTGTGGGCAGCTTTGAAATTGTCCTGAGTGGTGCTTATTTTATGCTACTTTTAATCGGAGAGCTAGAACTGGGAAGATAAACAGTGGCCTTAACTGTGAAGAAGGACTCAAAGTAGTTACTGTGTGAGAAGTGCTGTTCTAGACAAAGTAACAAGGATATTTTAGTACACAGTAACTTCCTCTTCTTTTTGGTATCTAGTGGCAGCTGATGTTTGGCTTTGACATAATAAGGTAGAAGTTCTGCAAGACAGACACCCAGTGTCATGGGAATATGAGTGTGGTGGGGATCTCTAATGCCTCCTTCCCCAGTGTAGAACGTGCTGAGGTTTGATCACGTTTTTTGTTTTCACACACTAATCTTCCATCTCTTTTTGGTAGTTAGATGTCTTGAAGAGAGGTTGTGTGTGTATCTGTGCATGTAGCATGTTTATACTGAAGCTTATAACTAAATACACAGTCTAGTATGTTTGAGACTGTCACACTTGTTATTTTTGTGTTTATCATAGTATTTCAATAATGAAAAATACGAAGCCCAACGGTATGATGAGTTCTTGAAGAGATATGAAAATGCCTCCTTGAAGACTACCTCTACTTTGGCTCTCCTCAACTTTGGACAGAGTGCTATATTTAGCATTGGCTTAACAGCCATCATGGTGCTTGCCAGCCAGGGCATTGTTGCAGGTAACTCATCTGTCTGTAAGCTGAAAGTGACTCTCTTTTACCTTTAATTCATTCATAATAGAGATGTTAATTTAAATTAACTTCTGGTTGATGTGATAGTTGAGTTTGGGAGTTTTTGCTTGAGAGTTTTGGGTATTTCTGCTGCTTATCATAATTCTGGGGAAGTTTGTGTTGAGGGATTTTGAAAGACACTTATATAAATACAAATACTGCTCTGGACCTTCTGTAAAGATCCTTTCTTTTTACCCTCCTCCTTTCCCATGTTGGCAAGACTCAGAACTTTTCCCCAGTGTGCTTTGTTTCCAGTAGTGTTATTACTGGTGTCCTTCACTTTCCTTAGATGAATAAGGTCGCATTATTAAAACCATTGTTTCTATATGCTAGTGTTTCATCTGTACTAATTTACTACATGAAGTAAAGCCTGCTAGTTTAGCAAGACACTGTACAAGCTTCAAATACAGTAGATGAATGCAGCACTGGGATGAGGCTCAGCTAAAGCAAGGTGATTTTAGAGTAAAAATAATGATGCTTTGAACACTGTTAGCATCCAGAGCTGTTTGAAGGGTAGACCTTTATATCATGTTGTCTTTCTTGCATCTGCTTTGCTCTTTTAAGAGATGCCAGGACAGGGAAGAGTTACACTGTGAATGGATAAGTCAGTAGGTGCAGTTTATGGCTGTCCTTAATAAAATTTGGAATAGCCTTCAAGCAGGATGGTAGAAATACAGCTTTAAATTATCTTTTAGGACCTGCTTCAGCTGAACTGACCCTGCACTTACCTTTAGCCAGTGTGTCATCCTCCGTTTTCCCTTCATCAGTGTATTTGATATTAAGCTGCCTGGAGGTTCTCACTACCCGTTTTAGCAGCTCTGTTGTCTGTAGTATGAAAGTCCTCTCTTCATCATGACAAATTCTGTCATTTGGATTTGTCTGTAATTGTACTTCAGATTCTTCCCCCATTCTTGCTTTCATGCGGCAGTTCCTGCCCTTCTAACTGATTTAGGCCTCTTTACGTTTCTCTGTGGAATTTCCAACTTTACAATCTGATATTTTCCATGAATTTCCTGCTATGCTGCTTGTCTTATTTTCCAGGGGCTATTAGATCTTTTAAGTGCAATCCACACAAACATTGCCCGTCATTTCAGGCACCTTCCTTTGTAAAATCTGATCTTCTGGGAATGCATTTGAGTTACTATTTAAACGTCTGGGTTTAGAAGTGGGATAAAAGAAACTAGACTTGATTGACTTGGTTATTTTTTTGGTGCTTCCTAACAAGACAACCCTTCAAGTCTCCTTATTCTCTCACATCCATTTTGTCTTAAGGCAGCCTTTCTGTTGGAGATCTAGTAATGGTGAATGGATTGCTGTTCCAGCTTTCTCTTCCCCTAAACTTCCTGGGAACAGTATACAGAGAGACAAGACAAGCACTTATAGATATGAATACCTTGTTTACACTTCTCAGTGTAGATACCAAAATTAAAGTAAGTAGTAGCTTATTTTCCTAAAGTATCTGGGTATTTAATAGGGCTGTTTTCTAGCAATGCCATCATTTCACCCTGCTTCTTAATTTCCAGGTTTAATTTCTATTCAAGCTGTTGTGTAAGGATGCTGTTCTGCCTCCTCTTTAAGTGCAGTTAGTGCAATAGCAGCTGCTTTTTCCTTGCAGAGCCTTTTAGTGACAGCAAAAGTTGCTTCACAAAAGCTGTGTTTGTATTGAGATCTCTTTTATTTAAGTGTTCATGCCTGGTGCTAGATGATTTATTTATAATTAATGATGCGGAATTTATTACTGCAGAAGAAGTTACGAAGCAGAGTGTTTGAGCAGAAATTTTTTCCTCTTTTGGGGAAAAGGAGGAACAAACCCATTCCACTCATGTGGTGGATTGTAATTATTTTCAGCCCATCCAAGCTGAAGTGTCTGTTTGCCTTTTTCTGAGCTAGGAAATGGACTGTTCGGCTTGTTGAACTGCTTGAGATACTTTCTGGGCAGCATATAAAGTGGCACTCTTCTTTTAATAGGACAAAGAGCTGGCTCCACCCCTGCACATCACACCACAGACTGCTGCCATCACCTTTGATAATGTGCATTTTGAATACCTTGAGGGGCAGAAAGTCCTTGCTGGCGTGTCTTTTGAAGTCCCTGCAGGAAAGAAAGTGGCCATTGTAGGAGGTAGTGGGTCAGGGTGGGTAAATGGACTAAATATGCCAATCAATGCAGCATTTTGTTTTTCAATGTGCTTCTTGTGTTTTGTTTGTGTTTATTATGCTCGTAGCATCAATTCTGATTGGAGATAGTAAATTACAAACTAGCAGTGTAACATAAGCTTCAATTCTTTTCAATTTCAGGAAAAGCACAATTGTGAGATTATTGTTTCGTTTCTATGAACCTCAGAAAGGAAATATTTATGTTGCTGGACAGAACATACAAGATGTCAGTTTGGAAAGTCTGAGAAAGGCAATAGGAGTCGTACCTCAGGTATACCATGGTTCGTTCTCCCCACATAGTCCATGGGAATAGTAAACCTCAGTATTCTGACACTGTGGTTCAATGAGGGCCAAGCCTAATGCAGTGGTAGTGTCTCTAGTTCCTTTGAAAGTCACCACGCTTCAGGAGAAACTGCCTCCAGCTTTAAGTGATTAGCTTGATAGTAGATTACCATCCGTAATGAGTTAGCAAAGTGGGAAAATTGTGCAGAACACATTTTGTGTCCTAAATATATATATTAATCCCATTATTGGGAAAAGAAATTTCCCCAGATACTTTTTTACCTTCGGGCTTTTTGGAGAAATCTAAGCTATTCTGTGTTGCTTTCTTTCATGGATTGGGGATAGTTTTGTAACCTGTTGTTCATGGTTTCTTGTTTAAAATATTCTTTCCATAAATGTAGGATGCTGTTCTCTTCCATAATACCATCTATTACAATCTGCTCTATGGCAATATTGGTGCAACACCAGAAGAGGTTTATGCAGCAGCAAAGCTGGCAGGAATCCACGATGCGATTCTTCGAATGCCAAATGGTTACAACACTCAGGTTGGGGAACGAGGACTCAAGCTCTCAGGTAAGGACTTTGGTGCACAAGCTCTTCTGCAAATACCTCAAAGTTCAATCCATACTTTACTCCTCAGTCATTGAATCAGTCAGGTTGGAAAGACCTTTAAGATCATCAAGTCCAACCATAGCCCCAGCACTGCCAAGACCACCACTAAACCATGTCACTAAGTGACAGTCAGACTCGCTTTTAGCTTATTTACATTATAACATAATTGTAAGGCTAAATATTAATACCAGTATTTATAGTTTAAGGCAACTGTAGTCTACAAGATATTTAAAAGGATGTGTTTTCAAGGGATAGCATTAAATGAGTTGGTGTGTGATCATGCATCTAAGTAAAAATGATCTTTCTTGTAAACTGCTTTAGTAGTGGAATGCATGTGACTAGAATTGGGAACTTTCTGTATTTGTGCTTTGCACATAGGATGTGATAGGCCATCTCCTGTTGTCTTGTCTGGAAAAAGCAAAGCATGTTACAGTTTTGCTTTAAATTGCTAACCCATATAGAATCACAGAATGGTTTGGGTTGGAAAGGACCTTAAGATCATCTAGTTCCAACCCCCCTGCTATGGGCAGGGACACCTCACACTAAACTATGTCGCCCAAGGCTCTGTCCAACCTGGCCTTGAACACTGCCAGGGTTGGAGCATTCACAACTTCCTTGGGCAACCCATTCCAGTGCCTCAGTATGAGCAGTGGTGGGGCACAGTTTGTGATACTGGTTTGGTATCTTTTTCTAATACAGTGTTAAAGGTGTTTGGGTAAGTGTGAAGTTGTTTTAAATACTTGGAAGAATTTTGACCGGGTAGGTAGCATAATGCTGGATGTGCAAAGAGTAGTAGTGGAGAAACAGCAGTGCATACACAACTTGGAACTACTGTTCTGCAGGGGCTTTCTAAACTTCTCCTGAATACAAGGCCTTACTGTCTGGCAAACTCTAAATATGTGTGGCAGAGCTTAATGTTCTTCCACTTGGACTCTGTGTACAAGACACCATTTATTGATAGACCAAAGAACAGTTCAGCTATTTTTGTTTGCACACAGTGGGCAGCGGTGGAGGACAGACTGCTCTCCTCCACTGGGAATGAGCTATGGCCCTACAGGAGAGAGAAACTTAACCTCAGTGAGTCTGGAAACTTCAGGGTACTGAGGCTGCTTCAGAATGGTGCTGAGATGTGTGTATCTTCAGTGTATGTGGGGCTGGTGGGCGTCCAGAGGCACAGGAGTGCAGCATGTTCAGGCAGAGATGCTGCCTGTTGCAGGCAGCAAGCTGTGTGTGGTGTTTCTTACTGTGAAGATGCTGAAGTCAGAAGTCCTGGTCTCTTTGAAACAGAGGATCAGAGGTTACATTCTGTATCCAGAATGCATGTGCAGGGGAAAGCGTGCACATTTGCAGAAGGGGAATATAAAGAAGGTTGAAAGGGAGATAAAATATGCGAAGCACAAATCTGGGTGAGTGAGTAGAAGATACAAGATAGGTACTGGCAGAACTGTAGAGAACTGTTATAATGATGAAAGATTTCTCTTGTGCTGCCTGTCTCCCCAGACTAGTAATTTCTAGAAAGAAGATTTGACTAACAATAGGTTTGAAATGTTTTGGCATTTATATAGAAGCATAGAATGATTTGGGTTGGAAGGGATCTTCTAAAGATCATCTAGACCAATCTCCCTGCTGTGAGCAGGGGCATCTTTCACTAGACCAGGTTGCTGAAAGCCTTAGCCTTATGTTGAGGTTTAGATTTGGTTTTAGGAAAAATTTCTTCACTAAAAGGTTTATCAAGCATTGGAACAGGCTGCCCAGAGAAGTGGTGGAGTCACCATCCCTGAGGGTATTTAAAATACATGTAGATGTGGCACCCGTGGACATGGTTTAGTGGTGCACTTGGCAGCGTTGGGTTAACAGTTGGGCTTGATCTTAAAGGTCCTTTCCAACCTAAATGCTTCTGTGTCCAGTTCTGAATCTGGAGAAGTGTGCTCAGGCATCTTGGTGTTTCCTTCTGACCTTGAGACACCTTTAACAGACCTGTGCTGAAATTGGGGTATGCCATTACTCCATCCTTCCTTCGTGTTGTGTGTGCTACCACTGTGATGGTCCTAAGCACCCATCTAACAGTGCTTGAACAGAAGTGGCATTTGGAAAGTGAAGTGTATTCCTTTCATGTTTTTTATTCAGAGAAAAAAGTCTGTAAAATGTTTCTCAGGAGAAGGACACTGGATTTGTGAGGTGGTAAAAAAGAGCTTAGTTCCTTATTTTCAACAGATAACACGAGTATTGGCAAACAGTAGTGATAAACAAGCTTCAGTGATGTTTGCAGGCAGGGGACAGGAGTCAGGGGCTGATGGTCTCAGAAGTGTCTGCTCATCCCTGACTTGATCTTCAATGGAGTTGTGTGCTCCGCTCTTGGGGAGTTTGATTCTGTGCTTTTGCAGGTGCCAGTGTGTGGCTTTGGGTTGGAATGTGGAACCAACGCGTCCACTGTATCCCGTGTGCTTCTGTTAAATCTGTATTTTCATTGATAAAGAGAGCTGTAATGGCCAGAATTGACTTGGTTATTTCATGGGTTGGAGATGTCAGAGGCATATTTTTGAGTTCCTTCAGTAGCTCTGTAAAAACACAGCATCTGTTACTTGGAATCTCTGAACAGTAGAATGGCTCCCTAAATTGTTCTAAAGGTGTAGATGAAATTAATTTCTGAATCTGTTCAAGATTTAAGTTGGGTGAGGCTTCTTGTACCTCTCCTCTAAGAAAAAGACAAACTCCTGACTTGCTTTGTCTGTTTTAGATAATATTTTGTGGGAGAAGTAGGGGGATGGAGAGCCCTGTGAATGTAAGTGGCCCTCTTTAAAATCCATGTGGTAGGGGAAAAAATGGTTTTGGGGACCGCTAACATGGGTGTGTGAAAGGCACAATTACAGTTAATGTGGTTCTTGGATGTGTTAACAGTGGTAGTGATGTGTAGAGCCAGTAAAAGCTTCAATCTTCACCTGGGGCCCTGGCTCTGTGAATAGTTAAATCTGTTGGGTGCAGCAAGTGAGTAGGTTAAATAATAAGTAAGTTGGATTCTCCCTGTATGCAAGAATTTGGTATGTTACGGATTCCTTTCCTCCAGTGAACTAACAGTTTACCTCTGCGAGGATTGACACTGGGAAACTATGTTAGAAGTGCTGTCTTGATACTTTAAAAGTGCTGGATTTGTTTTCATAGTTGGCAAGAACATTAATGCAAACAAGGCTCGCTCATGGCAGTGCAGCAGCATGGATAACAGGCTCAGTATCTCGGTTCCTCTCCCCTAGTGTGGTTTCTCTTGCTTGCGTGGTATGAAAATAGGCATAAAGAAGTCTTAGTTGCAATGAGAACTCTCTCAATTTAAATGGTGAAGTGAGCATTTAGTGGAGTTCTTACTGGTCTCAGTGCCTGAGTCATCAAGAGTAAATAGTGAAAACCAAATTGTTTTGGCTTTTTCAAGTAGAGTCCATTTCAGTGGCTTGTAGTACAGAGCTGTAACAGCCCCAGCCCCTGGCTGGGTGATGGAAGGCTTAACGTGCTGCTGTCCTGAATGTGAGCAGGGAAGAACATGAAACAAGTCAATGTGCTACAAATATAAGGAAAGACCTTGGATTTAGTTACTGTAGTGTCTTTCAAACATGGGTCTTGTCAAGCTGAGTTTTGAACATGCTTTAAAGGCGAGAAAGGGAGAGTATATTAAAATAGACTGAGTAAATTGTACAATTCTAATTGCTACTGTGTTCTGCCAAAGACAGTTTAAAATGTGAACTGCAGCATTATCATCAGCCTTTTAAATGGTTTATTAAAGCATGTTCTCTCCTGATAGGAATGGAACATTAACAAGAATATAATGGTATTAAATTGAATGTTTTGAAGTCTTGAATAAAACAAAGGAGGACAAGAGCACCAGTGTGAAATGTTTGCATTGCATACCAAATGGTTAGCAGATTTTAAGTTCTCAAATGCACCTGTTTTCCTGTCTGTAAAAGTTGTCCTAAGTTATTCTTGAGTCAATGTTGGCTGTGAAAATTGTGAAGGGAGGAAACTAGTCTGAAACGTGGTCACATCAGAAACCAACAGGCATAATGAAGGTGGTTTTCAATACCATTTTAATTGTGTTCTTTAATGAAGTTTGCTGGTTTAAGCTGTTAGGTAGGGATGCTTTGAATCTGGGCCATTATGGAGTGAAGAGTTAGATGAATTTCAAGGAGAGAGCTGAAAGAATAGTCCTTCTCTAGAAGGATAAGCAATCTTGAGTCTCTTTGGGTTTACTAGACAGTAGGAACTTGAGTGTTACCTCATGTAAGGTGTAGACACCTTTATCAGTAGCAGCTATGGTATATATTTAAAAGAAAAAAGAACCACCCCCCAAAACAGTCGTGTCTGCTGATGAATTTGGAATATCATGGTTGTAACTTCATCTTTTTTTTCCTCTCCCCCCATTCAGGAGGAGAAAAGCAAAGAGTTGCAATTGCCCGAGCAATGTTAAAGGAGCCATTTATTCTTCTCTATGATGAAGCCACATCATCTTTAGATTCAATTACAGAAGAGGTAAATGGGGATATAAGAATACAAAACTTAACTGGTGTAATGATGGCTGATTCTGATGCTTCTTCCTTGTTCTTTTCCTCCCAGAAAGAATTCTCTTCTTTTTGCCAGATGGCTATCATGTGTTTTCCTGCTATTATTATTAAGAGATCCTAAGTCTAAGCCTGTTTCCTAAAGGCCAGAGCAGAGGCACTGAGTCTGTCCACCTTGAGACATAATGATGAATGCCAACTCTGGGTGTATTTTCTGTTGTACACTCTTGAAGTCCCAGTCACTTTTAAACACTTATCTGTTGAAGCTGTTGCGAGTACTTCATGTGGCCATGAAGTGTGAAGCTCTCCAGTCCACTTCAGAAGGTGTTTAGATGACATATAGCAGTCATTAAAAATGTCTTACAAATAATGTTGACATACTGCAGAACAGAAAACCTCTTGTTTGTTGTGCAGCATCTTTCTGAGCTGTAAATCAGGTAGGTGGAACCTGCAGTGCTGGTATTAATTTGTATTCCTTTCACAGGAAGGGCTGTGAAACAGCAGAGTGTTGTGACACAGATGTCATGACATGACCACAGTAACTGCATCAGGCATCATAACTACATCTCTGCTTAAGCACAAAACCTCTCAGCACCAGCAATAATTTCACAAACTAATGTCATCAAAAACTAGAGCTAGAGCTCTGTTTGTGTTCACTTATGCAGATTATTGAGCAAATTTATTGACCTGTAATCACGAAATTACCCTCATTTTCCAGGTACAAAGCAATCAGGGTACAAACCGTACATCCATATAGTACAGCTCTCAAACATGGTACAGCTTCCTCATTGGGCCAGAAGTGTTCACAACACACACAACCCTACAGAAAGCTGCTTGGCTTCTTCCTCTCTTTTGTTTTGCTGTATTTATTGCAAGAATCACGAGCAAAGCTGAAAATTTCACAGCAGAACTGAGCTTTAAAGGCAGCAGATGAGACGAGTCCTTCCCACAAAAGTATGTCTGGTAATGGGAATGTTCTCAGACAAAGGCAAGTGTTTTTCAGGAAAATAAAGAGGACAGTTACAGCAGAGAGGGCACAAATTCCTGACTAGTGCTGCTCGCATCTGGATGCAGCTGGGGAAGGGGGAAGCTGCTCACAAAGGAAGCAGTGGATAAGTAATTCCCAGGATTGCTTTAACTACATGCTCCTTATTGGCATGATATTGAGAGGGATTTTTTTCTTTAACTTTCCTTGATTTGAAAGTATTATTATTTATTATTGTCATGTGCTTTTACTGCTGTTTATGTTGCTTTTGAGCATGGCTGCATAGGGAAGCTTTTCCTGCAGTCAAGTAACACTTCTCTTCCTTTGTCCCTTGGGATATGTGTGGCTTTCTGTGAATGCTCAGAGCCACAGATATTCCATGCTTGGGACTCTCGTGTAGATACTCTCTCGTAGGTGTTTCTTACTGTGAAGCTGTAGCAGCACTGCAGATGTTTCTCAAAACTTACTTACAGCAACTTGCATATTTCCAGACAATTATTTCTCTTTATACGACCCAGGAGTGTGTCAGAGTTTGTCTCTGTTTGAATCTTGCAGAATATTCTCAGTGCCATGAGGGACATGGTGAAGCACCGAACGTCAGTTTTCATTGCTCACAGGTTGTCCACAGTAGTTGATGCAGATGAAATCATTGTGCTGGATCAGGTGAGGTGATCACCCTGGGATCTGTTGTTTTCACAGAATGGCAGTGTTTGTTAGAGAGTCTGGGTGTCCATTTGGAAACATTATACTCCCACGAAGCCACAAAGTTCTTTCTTTGGGAATGAACCACACTAGAGCATTCTAAAGGCCCAAGCTTTGCTTTTTGTATCTTTACAACCAAATTTTATCAGTTGCATTATATGATTCTTGTGTGTTTTATGTTTTATATGTTTTATTTTCACTTAATTTGTATAGGTCATTTAATTACATGTTCTTTGGATGGATGATTGCAAACTCCACTTGGTGCTCTGGGACTGGCTTAATGTTGCATGTTTTGAATCTCATTTATTACATGCTTCTCTCAGATTAGGTTTCCTAATCTGTCCCCCCCATGTACACTTTATTCTCAGGACTCATTGAGTGTCTGTTTTTCACATACATCCATTGGTTTTTTCTCTCAATGGGAAGAGAGGACTGCGTGTTCTGTTGCCATGCAGATAAAACTGTTGTTCAATCTAATGATGTTACAAATCTGATCATCATTCTCTATCGTACCTGTAGAAAAGTGTGGTTATTCCCTTTCTGTATGCTTCTCTTATAAGGGAAACAAAAAGTTTCAACATTTTATTTACTAATATCACTCTTCAGCTGTTATCTCATAGTCAGTTTGTCCTAAATCTATTTTCTTCTCTTACCCATATCTGGCTATAGATTTAAAATAAACACATTTTTATTGTAACTTCATAGTTGCTCATTTAACTGATAATGCTGAAAATACAGCGCTCCAATCCGCTGATAATGGATGTTAAATATATCTCTGTATTCACTTTTTTCAGTTGCTATTTATATGCTTGTGATCACAGGTGTATTTAGTGACTAAAATATGCATATCTAAAAGAAAATAAATTATTCCTACACTACATTAAATGATTTCATGGGAACAAAGTCTTACGAAATGGTGGCGTTCGTGACTCTCTTAGCTATACAAATCTCAGCTTCATTTGACTCTCCAGATGAAGTAGTAGAATAAATCACTTGTACTGCTCTGTGGAGTTTTTATTTGGTTTTGATCACATTTCCTAAGGTGTATCCTTTATGTAACTGCACGTTAAAGCATCTTGCAAATGTTTTTTAACATGTTATGAGGCAATCTGCGACTTTTTGTTTTCGAGGCAAGTTTTCACAGCTTACTACGAGTGTGTTTTGTGTTAGAGTGTAACTGTTACGTGAAAAATAAAAGCACAACCTCAAACTGTAAACCAGTTAGGGTGCTCACTTTCATCACTGGTGTTAGTGTAATAAGGATTGTGAAGGAGTAAGGCAACGTGGTGCATCACTTGTGGTGCCCAACTGCTTCAGGTGGCGTCTTTGACGTTTGCTCAGCAGAAAGTTGCCTCTTGTCATCCCAGCTTGATTGATGAGCACTGTGTTAACAACCAGATAAATGAGGCTGAGCAGTGGAGATGAGGCAAGATGATTGTGACTGGTTTTGCTTAGCAATGGAAATAGGGCAGCATCATTTCAGCACCTTTTGCCTCGGTAAAATCAGGATAGTTCTGGAGTGAGTAAACATTATATTAATGGTCCTTTATATGATTGTTCAAGGCTCATTGGAAATAAAAAAGAGGCCATAATCTAAAGCCTGGATTCTACTACAGTGAACTCTGGAAATGAGCCACTGAAAGTTTAAAATACATTCTGCAGTTAGGCTGGTCAGGTGTGTGTTTGCCCAGATTCCACCAGCACGACTAGGAATAGAAGTGACAAGACCCAGTTTTTTTCCCAGCTTGTTCATCAGCAGCTGTCACAAGGAGGTAGATTTAATTGTAGATCCGAATTTAGTTCTAATATAAAATCCATGTAGCTGTCTGTATAATGCTGTCTTTTCCCAAAAGAAATAATAGCTGGAGAAGGAATACATTATTTGAGTTTGAAGTTGCTGAATGTAAATGGGTATCTCACAGTATAAAGATGAGTCTGTTTTTTGAAGAGTGGTGTTGTTTTGCTGTCTGTAGGATTCGAGTTCTCCTCTCCAACTCTTCCTTCCCATCTCCACAGTGATAGGCAATAAATCATCTTTGCTGTTGAGAATAGCACAGATGAACCGAGCTGCTCGCTCAATTTTCCTAATGGCAATGACACAAGTTACTGAGCACCCATCTAAAAGCACAATTTACACTAATTGTTTTTAGGGTTTGGTTTGAAATGTGTTTTGCTTATCTAGGACAAATCCCTCTCTGTCTGCTCCTTTAGTTTCTTAGTGTGTGTTTGTTATCAAGCAGAGACAAATACATGTTTGTTTTGGGTGATCAGCATTTACATTCCTAAGGATCTGTTAATCCTGATTGCAGACTTACTCCTCTTCTTTTACAGGGTAAAGTTGTGGAACGTGGCAGACACACAGACCTCCTTGCAAGTCCTAACAATCTCTACCACGAAATGTGGCACACACAGAGCAGCAAAGTACTCAATAGCCATAACCATCCAAACTGGGAAGAGAGAAATAAACCTATGTCCAAAGAGGAGGAAAGGAAGAAACTAGAAGAAGAAATCACCAATAGTGTGAAAGGCTGTGGAAACTGTTCATGCTAAGTATGATCCCGGATTAATCCTATCTGAGAGGTTAAGGATGCACAAGGTGACAGTGAAGCGCAGCTCTTGTTTTTAAGTCAGCGTTCAGAAACTTCCTGGGTTTTGCAGTTTTTGGGTTGTACAGTTTCTCAGAGGGACATAATTTCAACCAAAGGAGTTCTATTTTTTCATCTTTAGGAATCTCTAATATTCACTGGCATCTGCAAGAGGTGAGCTGCTTCAAAACCTTTAAACTTCTCAACTGAGAGTGTCATTTATGGCACGTTTTAGGCATTGGTAAATTCTGCTGGTAGATGCTCGAGGTGGATTATTAAACTAAACAGATTTGTCCTTAATTTACGTTATTTCTCATCATTAATGGTTGATAAATGCCACATTTTAATTTTAATTGAGCTAATTTGCTAGTGAGGAAGATGCAATATAAATTTTTTAGTGGTATTTTGGTTTAAAAATGTTCTTCCTTGTAAAGAATAAGAAAAGCCTCCACAAAATATTAGAGGCTTCTAGTAGCAATAAATATTGGAATTACTCATCTAGCCCTTCACAAACACCTTTCATACTGGTCTGTCAGAACATGCATTGGTATTACTTTACAAGAAAACTAACAGTATTTCTAAGAGCTGGCAAACACCTGGAATTAAGAGAATGTTGTGTGACTTTACAGACAGCCACCAAGATGTTGTATGTAAATGTGAAGAGTTGGAAGTTGCCCTTAAATCAAAGAATCTGAAAGCAAAGATTCTGTATCCTCAGCATCTGCTGTACTAGTCAAAGCAGAATTCAGTCCCTTTTTCTATTTCAGTCGTGGTCATAGGGTGCAATTAAGATTCAATAAAGACTTCCATAAATTTCTATTATGTCATTAATGTATGAGAAAATGACCTGGATAATGGTGAAAGCGTTGCTGCAATAATCTCATTTCAATAGTCAAAACTTCTTCAGTGGCAAGAAACCTCAGTGTGGGTGATTTGCAGGACACTGCAGGTGTGTTGGGTTTGTGTAGCAAGGTTTTGGTAGTGGGAGAGCTATAGGGGTGGCTTCTGTGAGAAGCTGCCAGGAGCTTCCCCTTGTCTGGTGGAGCCAATGCCAGATGGCTCCAAGGTGGGCTTGCTGGCCATGGCTGAGCCCATCAGGAGCAATGGTAGTGCCTCTGGGATAATGTATTTAGGAAGTGGGGGGGAAAACTTGTGCAACAGCAGCTGCAGCCAGAAGACAGGAGGGAGAATATGTGAGAGAAAGAGCCCTGCAGACCCCAGGGTCAGGGCAGAAGCGGGGCAGAAGGTGCTCCAGGTGCCAGAGCAGTGATTCCCCTGCTGCCTGTGGTGCAGACCATGGTGAGGAAGGCTGTGTTCCCTCATCCCAGTGGAGCAGATGACCACCTGCAGCCCATGGAGGACCCCAAGCTGGAGCAGGGGGATGCCTGAAGGAGGCTGTGACCCCATGGGAAGCCCACGCTGGAGCAGGTTTGTTGCAGGACTTGAGACCCTGCAGGGGATTCATAGCAGAGCCATCTGATCCTGAAGGATGCGCCCCATGGAAGGGACCCGCACTGGAGCAGCTCATGAAGAACAGCCACCTGTGAGAAGGACTCACACTGGAGAAGTTCCTGGAGGACTGTTTCCCATGGGAAAAACCCCATGATGGAGCAGGGGAAGAGTGTGAAGAGGAAGGAGCAGCAGAGACAACGTGTGATGAACTGACCACGACTCCCATTCCCTGTCCCCCTGCGCCACTCAGGGAGGAGGTAGAGAACTTGGGAGTGAAGTGGAGCCCCGGAAGCAGGGATGGGTGGGGGGAAGGTGTTTTAAGATTTAGGTTTATTTCTCATTATCCTACCCTAATTGGCAATGAATTAAACTGATTTCCCAAACAGAGTCCATTTTGCCGTGACAGTGATGGTGAGCCCATTGTACCCTGTCCTCATCTCCACCCAGGAGCCTTTTGTTTTGTTTCCTCTCCCCTGTCCAGCTGAGGAGGGCACTGATGGAGAGGCTTGATGGGCACCGGGGATCCAGCCAGCAGCAACCCACCACAGCAGGATGTATTTGTAGGCCTTAGTTCTTCAGGGAAATTTCCCCTTTCTGTTTATCCTTGGTTATTCTGGTATAAATCTTCATGTTGAATTTAAAGATCTTTCTGTATGTTGAAAAATACCTGTTTTCCCTGGGGAATGACACCAGTATGATGGTTATAGAGTTACATTTGTAAATCAGCTGCAGGATTTCTCAGTGTGGGCACCAGCAAAGCACTGAATTTGGTGCTTCTGGAAACGTAGCTGCAAATAGTGTTTATTTGATGTTATACACTCCCACTGCAACTAAATACAGGAACAGAACCCTCGTGGGTCTGAAACCTTTGCTATCTTTTCTGCTAGTTACTCACTTTGTTAAAACGATGGGTGAAAAAAGCCAACCTGGCATCAATCTCCAGTTACAAATGATCTTGAAAGTATATGGAATGCAAGGACTTTTATTTTCATCCTGGGAGTGCAGCAGCAAAGTGAAGCCTTGTTCATGTAGTGCCAGTTCAGGATTCCAGCTTACAATCTTCCTTTTCTTCTCACTAATTGTCTCCTTTTTTAGTTCCTGACAGCACTGAGGTTGACTATAAAGGTGCAGTTATCTCTGAACTGCCAGAAATGGTTTGCAGAGGTTTGTTGAAAAGTCTTTTAGGAGGCGTCTCCCTTTCCTCTGTCGTGGATAACACAAAACCAAACAGTGTGTTGTCCCTGCCCACCCCCAAGAGCCAGTTTGTGGAGTGGAGTATTTGTCCACTGTTGCATGCAGCAGATGATGTGCAAAGGCTGTAAACTGCAATATTGCAATCCTAGTAATTCTTATTTTCCTTTGGCACAAGTATTGGGAATGTCAGTGGTCTGAAAGATGGAGAAGTGCTGGGTTCTTTCCTCAGTGATCAGTTTTCCATGTTGCAGGGCTTGGACATCCTAGTAATTGCCAACAGAGAGCACAGGAGCTGGTGTTCTCTTGTTGATGTCTGCAACCAGAAGCCATTTTAATGCCAAATTTGATTGTGAAGGGAAGTTCTCAGATGAGAGCTGGTGCATTTCATCACTGGGATGGACTTTGCAGGTATTCTACGACATGCTGAGTGTGAACCTCTGGGCAATACTTGGTGACTTCTTGTCTGCTGGAAAGTAAAACTCGTGCCCTCCTTGGTTTTAGTTTTTATATACTATGACTCGAGCATCACTGTTAGAAGCAGATGTTTAAAACACCAAATGGGAGGGTCGTGGCTTTGGAGAGCCTCTCACTGTAGTGCTGACTCCTGGGACAGTAGATGTGGCATCTCTTTATGAAGCTGTACAGTTTCTTACAGAACACAGGTTTCTTTTGGAGCTCTCTGACAGCCTTTGTGGATCTGGATAATTCTGCTCTCCTGTAAGCTGAAGCATCACTTTTCCAAACAGCAGCTTTCCATATTCTGGACTTTTAGCTGGTGGCTTTCAAAATTCAAGTCATTACCACCATTATAAAAATCTCTGTCTGCAATTTTAGAGTGGAAAAAGCCATTTATCCCCCCCCCTTCATTCTCTGTTGTTAAAGGAAATATGTTTGTGAAAAATGGGTGTTAAAAGGGGGCTGCTTCTTGCAGCGTTTAATCATGTATTAACTATGAATGTACAGAATTTAATTCCCATGTAAAAACTTATTAGGCACAAGACTTGAAGACACAACACAAGAAATTCTAACCTCCACATTAGAAAACTGAATTAGTGGTTGGTGGGGAGGTCATTTTGCTCCTTACAAATGGATATTAATAACATGCTACTTGCAGGTGATCCCTCTGTTTCCTCAGCAGCTCTGTTACATGGATTAGGCGTTACCTACATCTCTTACCACTGAGGTTTTAAGTTATGTTCAGGTTTCTTTTCAGAATGGAAATGTAAAAATTACATTGTACAGTGAGATGATGTTCAAGAACAACCAAAAAGGCCAGGTTAAGATCGCAGTGTCTAAGTGTTCTGCTGGAAGACTTCTTACCCTGACTCCTGTTGTTCAGCTGTGTATAGAGAATTATTACGAAATAAAGGATTTATCTTTGTGAATAGAAATGGGTGTCCTGTCAAAATGGCTCTTCCAGCTTTGCAGCAGTTTCCCGAGGAAACAGTGGTGTGGAATATGAATAGCAGTGATTTTAATAACAGCTATGGAATCATGGCTTTTCCCCTCCGAAAGGGAAGCTCTGAATTGGCTTTTCAGTCAGAGCATTTGTTGGCAGTGCTTGGTGATGGGAGTGAAGCTGAGAACAACTGGTGGGGATGTGGGTTAGCATGAGGCATCCGAATTCCAGCTGATGCATCAGAAAGGTGAGCTCACACACTGCACCTGAGTTCTGTTCCCACTCAGCTTCTATATCCCCTTAATTTTCAGTGTTTGGAGCTGCAAAATCACATGAAGAGCACTCATGAGACTCATCTTGCTGATGAGAATGCAAATCCTTGTTAGAAGCTTGACTGTTTCTTACTTTAAAATACTGTATTTTGAGAAATGTAAACTTTTTAACTTACGAACAATAGAAGTATAAGTATTTCCTTGAGCCCTTGACACGACGTTGTGTGTAATTACTGCCTGGATTTTGGTTTTGTGCAGCTGTAACTCCGGATTCTCAGTATCGAATGAGAAAGCAGGATTGGTTTTATTTACACTTGGTTCTCCTGCACTCTCACTGTATAGGCCTGAGCAGCGAGAGCCACTGGTCCTGCTGTCACTGCCTCACAGCAGCTGAGCTCCACGTGGTCTTGTGGAGTGCATGGTACGTCTGGGACAAAGGGATGGGAGACCGTGGAGCAGGCCGGGTGTTCTCAGTTCCAGCTGGATGAGCTTCCTGCCAGTGTTCCTAAAGCTTCATTTTATCTGTCTTTATGTCTTGTAATGATGCTGTGCAGGAATGTTCCATGTGTATGTCCAGCCTGGCCTTGAACACTGCCGGGGATGGGGCAGCCACAGCTCCTCTGGGCACCCTGTGCCAGCACCTCAGCACCCTCACAGGGAAGAGCTTCTGCCTCGGCGCTCATCTCAGTCTCCTCTCTGGCAGGTTAAAGCCATTCCCCTCATCCTGTCCCTACAGGTCCTTGGCCAAAACCCGTCTCCAGGTTTCATTTCTGTGTGCAGGTGATGAAGGAAAGAGCCTCCAGCCTGGGATATGGTGTGCTGGGTATGGTTGTTGGACATGGTGGGTTTCTGGGCTGCAAGCACACATTGCTGGGTCATGGTGAGCCTTATTGCAGCATTAGCAAGAGAATGTAATAGTATAAACACCCTCAGCATTAACAAGAGAAGGATTCTTGTCAGACTTTACACTATTAAGC